GCTGCATTGACATTATTTCAAGTTTGACTTCATTAGGAGTTATTGGTTGAAACAAGGGTCCAGAGAAGTTTCGTGTGAATAAATGAATTACATATTTAAAGTCTCACCTTGAAAAATGTCTATACCTGTCGCTTAGCACGATTAATTAGCCCAATGGGATCTTAATGAATCTACTGTATTTTGAAAATCCATAACCGCAACCCATATCCTCACTGGCGCACGGAACATCACCCAAAGGGTGACCGAAGGGCGACCGAGGCACGAAGTGCCGAGTAAAAAATGGACAAGCTTTCGGTATTTTAAAATGTAAGCCGATCTTGCGAGCCCTCAGTCTCTTGGTTTGGGGTCAATAGAATGTGTAACAAAACTGTAACGCGATCAAAATGACCCATTTTTTCAGAGGTTTTCGACGGGTTTTGATGTTCTAACGACAAACACATGTCCTCTGGACCCTGTGGTTGAAATAGAAAGGACAAAGAAGCAGATTTGTTTTTATAGAGGAATTAATTGAGTAAAGTGCTTTACTGAGTTTGGGAGCTTTGCAGCTAATTTTGTTCCAGACCAATACTTGTAAAATGTTTATTAAGAACTAGAAATTATTGATTTATTGTTGGTGGTTGTATTACTGCCAAAGTACTTACTTCTATCTAAGTTGACCCAATGGCTATATATGGGTGATTGCACTTTAAAAAAGGAAAACCGAAGGAAAAATAAAGCATCATCTAGCAGTTGTAATTACTTAAACTGCTAAAGACGGTTATCAGTAATTCTTTGAGGCAAGTTCATAGTCGCCTGGCTGTCAGCTGCAAGAAAAAATATCGCCCGTCCATACACCATTGTTTGTGCTCCTCCCTCCTTCATGTAATTAAAGGGAACCTCCACTCCAACAAAAAGATAACTTTAAATCACAGGAAATAGCTGTTACAGTCAAGTCAATCTAAAATATTTTTAAAGAAAGCGTTTGTATCCGAAAGAAATAACTTTTAGATTCGCCTATTTTTGTTTTCAAATTTTGCGGGCGTCGCCATCTTGAATAATTGTGACGTGTAATGGTTGCCCTATTGTTATTAAACAAAAGCTCTTTGTGTCAGAACAATAGAGCAACCGTAACACGTCACAATTATTCAAGATGGCGGCGCCCGCGAAATTTGAAAGTGAAAATAAGCGATTTTAAAATTCACTTTTCCTGATATAAACACTTTTTTTAAGACCAATTTCGAACAAATTTGTTTATCAACATAATTTTATTCGATTTAAACTTATTCTGTAGTAAGAGTGGAGGTTCCCTTTAATGCAGCCATCCATGAATTGGCTAATTGATATCATAATCAAGAGCCGTTTCTCAGCAACTGTTTTTTTAAGCTGAAATATTATGACTGAGGAGATTTAGTGCTGAGAGATTAAAAATTGTAAATCTTTGTAATTTAAAAGTCACTGTAATGTTCAAATGACGAGTAGTGAAGATGGGTATTTATTGTGGCTACCATCACGCGTGTCTGGCGCATTTCGTTCACTTCGAAATTGCCTTCACACGCCTCAAAAACGCTAAAAATTAATACCTGTTCTGCAGGCTAAGAATACCTGGCAAATGATAAATAACAAGTCAATTAAAGATCAAAGTTTTCAGAAAAACGTTTGTGAGCCGTCTGTATTAACTTTCTTCCGGGTGAGGTACAATTTGCATAGTTGCTGACCACTATGCTATTACTGGTATTTAATCCCCTACCAATTATTGTCGACGGATCAGGACAGGCCGCTGCAAGAAGTAGGAACAAATTGTCACTTTCGGTTTGAAAAAGTTTTCCTGTAACACAAACATAGGTTCCGACGACGAATCTGGCGAATAAATCGAAACTTGCGCACATCAAGAATGAAAATAAAGATTATGATGTAACTTATAAAAGAGTGTGCTTGTTTTAGTGCTAGTTCAGTGAGTACAAAAAAGCAATATTCATCTCTCCTGTTTCGTCTAAATACTTCACTTACAATTGAAATTCCACACTAACAAAGTAGTAGAATGCTGAATAAAGCAAATTAACCTTTTACTGTCGACAAAGCAGCCGCTTTAATGGTCCTAAGTCCGGCAACCATGCGATCGCCCCCGATCTTGCGACACTGCAAATAATTAAAATTACCCTCTAGAATGGACATTTTTAATCAGATTATTTCAGCAAAAATACCTTGCAATCGTTCTTTATCCACTCCCAAGGCGCTCTTGCCTCCTGCATTGGTCTGCTGCTGTGCGGTTAAGCTTACTTGAGTGAAGTCTTCTCTTCCATCTTTCGTTGCGAAAGCGCGTGGAAGCTTCAAACCGCACTCTCCACAAAACTTAAACCGCGGAAGCAAGTCTGTGCCACACTTAGGACACTTCATCTTTTAAAGTGGGCATTATTTTGAAAAGAATCAAAATTGATTTCACGGAGTTCATTTACACATAACCAAAATAGGTTTGCTAGCTTCTTGTGTGAAATGAATGATGAACAACGAATTCACTTTATGTATGCTGCAATTCTATACCCCGCTGATTTCTCAGAAATTCGCCGGAAGTGAGCGGGGAATAACCCTGCGATCATCATCAGAAATAGATCACAAATAGCCGGCGTGTAAAAAGCTGACTGCGATCCATTCTCGTCTCCACAGCCCGTAAGCTCCGGAGTGACAAGAATGACATCGTGCTGCAGAAATTAATTGAATACACATTTTAAAAGGACGGTTCTCTTTAAACTGGGAAAGTGATGGATTTGGGAGAAGGGGGCCCTCTCTTGGTTTGTTGTTGCATGTAATTTCAAGGTCCAGTTTGATGGGGGAGGGCAAGTTCTGTCTTGTGACGTGGGGTATAAAAGAGGGGTTGGAACTTGCGAAGAGAATTTTTAACACACCCTCCCCCCGCAAAGTATGTATCAGAGAGGTGCTAAAAATTTGGTCAGTCAAGAAGTAAGATGGTCTTATACTCAGCTTCGGCCTTACCCCGTCCTTAAATATGCAGACACATGTTCTCCATCAAAAGAAGAGAATTCTACTACGAAAATCATTAACTACACAGCAGCAGGTGGCCAAGCTTCCTTTTTTCGTAGGTATGTTTCGCTTTCCAGTGCTGTGTTTTACGGAAGTACCCCAGGTTGTAACCTGAGATCAGGCCCATAAATTCATCTCTAACAGTTACTGCTAAAATTGGTTTTCGCCTTGACCGCCTTAATGTAATTTTCAAAGCGAAACGAAAATAGATCCTGATCTCAGGTTACCCAGGTTGTAGGAGGAGGGTGTATTTCGAAACATAGTTAGTCTAATAACCTAAGGCTTGAAAAACCACAGCAAAAACCGTGAACGATCAATGTAGCTCAACGTTGGATCAAACAAGATCGTGATCTGTCGAAAAAGATAAAAATAGAATTAAAGTCAAAAAAACTATACTGCAAAGACTGATCAAACAAAGTGGAAAAGGCTGAGGTATACAATATTTCGACTGGACAATACCAGTCTTCATCAGATTTATTAGGAAAAACCACGAATATACAGAATAATTTTTTGAGAGGTAAAAGTGTTGCTGTGAGGTAGTTGTGGAAGTGCTAATTTGGTTATGAAGGGATTCGGATAGTGTAGTTACAGTGTGTTGAAATGAGGTGGTGGTTGTAAAAAGTCTTATCAATAGTCGAACATTCTTGTACTTACTTTAAAAGGTCAGTGACACAGCGGTAATATTGGCTATAGCAGTGTCCAGGCGTGTCAAAGAATACTTTTTAAGTGGAATAGTTGACTTTGGAGTACCATTTTCAAATAGCTTCCCCTCTTCCTCTCTTCCTCGGCATTTTTAGGCTTCCGAAAAGCTCTGGAACATGACGCTATGTCCTCTTCGGTTAGTGTCGTTTGTAGACTGGAAAACTTCTAAACACGTGTGAGATTTGATTTTCTTACATAATAATTTCGTACGCAATGTTTTTTTCGTATGCTAATTTCCAACGTTCCCAAAAGCGTTATTGTTATCAACTCCATTGAGACACGCTTTTGAAGTCGTTCAATAAACTCGCGAGTCGTGTCTTATCGGGGTATAAAGCCACTCGGCTTCGCCTTGTGGCTTTATACAATGTACCCCGATAAAACACTCCCGCTCGTTTATTAAACATTACTTTACATCGATTTCTAGACTTTGCTAGCACTCGAATCTTACCGAAAACTTGTCCCGCACTCAGCTGAGATCAGGCTCTACTTTCATTTTCCTAGGTAAATAGATTCCACGCTGGCAAGGCGAATCGAAGTTTTCAGCCAACAACTCCCAACACTTCTTTTGTTCCGTGATCGCCGAAGCATAGCGCAACAATGTTGGATCCGTTTGCACAACTCTTCCAACATTGTTGGGGCCACGCACGCTCATTACGCATAGATTTTCAAAGACTTATAGCTTGTATTCTTCCCACGATGCACTGCAAGACCCAGACTTGTTGGGAGTTGTTGCATTCAATTGCACACCACTGCGAACTCGTACGCAACGACTCCCAACATTGTTGTGCCAACAATGTTGGGAGTTGTTGCGCCCGTTTGCACGCAGCCTCAGTCGGCACAACACGGGAATTCCAAGAATGTGAACAGATCGAGAAAAAGCTCGCTATACAGTTAAAAGAGTGCCGCTGACCAAGAATAGGTGGAGGGCTCCTTTTGTCGCCCGCAATGATTTGCTCGAAAAAACCGACAGATCAATTTGCAGAAAGATAAGCAGCCAGCCTAAAAGATAGTTAAAATCGCCCCCTCTTCTTGGGGCGATAGGAAAAGACTGTCTCATGCTATCACTCACGTCGTTCCCTGGGCATAAGTTTTTTAGGCCTTTATTCCAGCCTCCCAGTGATACAAAAGAGGTCACTATTGATTCGAGAAGCAGTTATCCGGCGAGGTATCAGTTGTGTTTTATTATTTAAGCCATTTTAAAAAGTTAAAGCATACTGAATAAGCACTAAAGTTTAAATAAAGATAAAAAGTAGTCCAAAAAGTACAAACTAAGATTGTCTCGTGTTTTGATAAATTTAATCTTGTTGTTTTCTTTCCCCCTTTTACTACGCCCATGTCTCGCTTTGAAAATGTCTTGTTCTTTCTAACGTTTTGAGAAATTCTTCGGCTGCTGTTGCATCCATTGTCCCTTCCTTCATGAATATTTCAAGAAGGGCTTCTGTAACATCTGCAGGCATTCGTTGCGAGTTTCTATGATTGAAGAATAAAGAAAAAATATTCCAAAACCTTTCTAATGGCTACACGACACACCAAGGGCGTCAAAGGGCGGCCATTCAACGGACAATGTCTGGTCGCATCCTTGGATGACCAGACCCTTTATCCGGTCATTTAGGCTCTAATGGAAATTGAAATTCAGAACTTCCGATTTTAGATAATGCTTCATTTACAATAAGGGCTTGGTACATATACTTACATCACGAGCGGAGGAGGGAGGGTGGGGGTGGGGGAGAGAGGGATTTGAATGTCCGGCCAAAAACGGGTTTTGTTAAAGCAAAAATAGACGCCAACCGTAAAATTGATTCAAGCCATGAAACTGATCATCGGGAAAACTATCTCAGGACTGTTGTACCCGGGTCCAATCTCATACCTGTCCAGGGATAACTTTTTTGTCGACCCAACTGAAAGGTTCAAGTCTCCTACTATTGACAAAGTACTTTACATACCCTGCTATGTAACACCATCCTTGTTTGTGAGCTAAAAGATCCCAGACAAGAGAGCTGTTCTCTAGTAACCGATGCTGAACATAAATCTTGTCTTCCTGTTAAGCGTCAAACAATATTAACACGCTATGTTACTAACGTTAGAGCGATTTTTGTATGACATTTTAATGAAAACGCGCGAACAAAACAGAAACAACAAACGCACGGAAATAATGCGATTTTATTGGTTTATCGAACGGATACAAACGCGCGTGGCATTTGGTTGGTTCAGCGATTGCTCGGGTGAAAAAAATTCATGCCCGAGAACTTTCTAGACATCAACCGACACTTCGCTTTGACGTCATACTGCAACACGATTGGCCAATCGAACAATGCCTTCTCCATATTGGGGTTTCTTTGGCGGGAAAACGAAGAGGCCTTGTTTTGATCTTTTCATTTATTGGCTGATAAAACAAACCGAAACCATTTTTCAAGGTCATACGACAATCGCTCTAACATAGAAGGTGTACTGTACATGGAGAGATCGTAAAACTTAAGGTGGCTCGACTGGATTTTTTGGGGTTGATACCTCCCAACTTTGAGCATTAACTACATCGGCATGAGTAAAGATATGGAAAAATTGTTACCACAACTGTATTATATAAAGAAGAAAATTTCTTATGATCTGGGTTTTATTGCAATCGGAGTCGCCATGGCAACGTAATGACGCCATTACGTTTTTCATTTATCTTTGTGTTTCTCTGTTCCAGGAGTTTTTTGAAGAAATCGCTTTAGGGAGTATGTACCTGCTATAATTGCCTCCATTATGGCGTAGTTTGAACAAATTCTATGAGAGCGTTTTCGAAATATTTTGAAATGTAGTTTTAAGAATAATAAAAACAGTGAAATAGCATGCTACCTACACAATTCGCTAATATTTTAAGAAAATGATAAGCTTTGGAAACGAGGCTTCATCTCGTAGTGGTTTGATTCCATTGAAAACTGCATACAAAAAAAGAGGGGAATTGCTCTGGGCGATCGGGATTAAGAAGAATTCTATTAACTTGCATTCGGCTGCTTTTGATACAGTTTTTGGACGTAATTTGGTCCATGCCTAAAAATTTCGCATTTTTCCAAAAACCGCTCGATAAATTTTTTTATAAATTCGACAATCCCGAGATCAATTGTCAAGAAATATTCCCTGCAAGTTTCAAGAACATTGAAAATAAGGAAGGCTTTTAAATAGGGCCTCAAATATAACCAATATTCCCCCTAGATCTTGTGTTTACAAGTGAGCGCCCTCATTATTCACTGACATTGTTTTCAAGTTTCATATGCACGTGCACAACTAGCAAAAGTTATAAATTTGCATCAAAAAGAACTCTCCATTACTTTCGAAGAAATATCTGGAGTATGCTAATAATTGGCTTGTCGTCACAGACAGCAGTGAGAGCCGAAACGGTGAACGTCACGGCTCATCGTGTAGGATGGAATACTTAATTATCTTACTCGGGTTATAACATCACAGAAACTCTCACAAAGAGTTGCTCTGATGTTATAATATATCATTAATCTCTTTACCCGGTAATTAGCATATCCCGGAGATTTAACCGAGGGTCCTTTTTGATGCAAATTCTATCTTTTTGCTAAATGTGCACGTGTATATGAAACTTGAAAACAATGCCAGTGAATAATGAGGACGCTCACTTGTAAACACAAAATCTGGGGAAAAAATTGGCTATATTTGAGACCCTATTTAAAAGCCTTCCCTGTTTTCAATGTTCTTGAAACTTGCAGGGAATATTTCTTGACAATTGATCTCGGGATTGTCGAATTTATAGAAAAATTTATCGAGCGGTTTTTGGAAAAATGCGAAATTTTTAGGCATGGACCAAATTACGTCCAAAAACTGTATCAAAAGCAGCCGAATGCAAGTTAATAAAATTCTTCTTACTCGCGATCGCCCAGAGCAATTCCCCTCTTATTTCGTATACAGTTTTCAATGGAATCAAACCGCTATGAGATGAAGCCTCGTTTCCAAAGCTTATCATTTTCTTAAAATATTAGCGAATTGTGTAGGTAGCATGCTATTTCACCGTTTTTATTATTCTTAAAACTACATTTCAAAATATTTCGAAAACGCTCTCATAGAATTTGTTCAAACTACGCCATAATGGAGGCAATTATAGCAGGTACATACTCCCTAAAGCGATTTCTTCAAAAAACTCCTGGAACAGAGAAACACAAAGATAAATGAAAAACGTAATGGCGTCATTACGTTGCCATGGCGACTCCGATTGCAATAAAACCCAGATCATAAGAAATTTTCATCTTTATATAATACAGTTGTGGTAACAATTTTTCCATATCTTTACTCATGCCGATGTAGTTAATGCTCAATGTTGGGAGGTATCAACCCCAAAAAATCCAGTCGAGCCACCTTAAACCAAAAATTTCGGTTTAGAACAGATAAACGAAAAAAGGGCGCATCTGTGTTTTGATGACTATGCGAACAGATACAGCTGATTTCATTTGAGATAAATGAACAAATTTTCTTAAAGCGTTGCTTTCATATACTCCCTTTTCAATGTCAAGTTTTAGCAACAACTGAACTCTTTAGCACTGCATTGATGCGACAGAGATTATAATATTGGACTGTAATGGCATTTGTTTTTCCTTTGTTTCTAACCTGGTCTCTTGAGAAAGCCGTAAACAACTGTAATTTTCCATTTTCAACAAGTTGCTGCCATTCCTCTTTGAAAAAGAAGTCTTTTTTGCTATTTCTACAGCCAAAGAACAGCACACAACCTGGAAAAGGGGGAAAAATGATCATATCGCTCGGTAATCGTTAATGGATTTCAGTAATCAAGGACCAGACTTTGTCAAATAACATCTTACACCCGGCAGACTGTGATACTCTTTCTTCGATAAAACCCCTAAATGGCGCACATCCAGTACCTAAACGAAACCAAAAATAAAGTATTAAAACAAGGTAAAAATTATCTATATCAAAATTCTTGGCGTTCCTCTAAAATCCCACATGGCACACCATATTTTGTTAAGGAAAACCTAAATTGAAATATTGTCCTATTTCTGTAGGCAACACTGTCAAATGTATCGTCTCAAATTGAGTTTGGACTGGGTAGTGACGCATTCTATTTGATTGCTGCTGTTTTAAAAACTAATTTTTATCATTAAGCATTTTAATAAATTACTTTTTTGTACAGTTCAAGTTTTAAATGCGCCTTACAATCAATTCTTACATGAAAACAAAACTTCAAAATTAAATAAGATCTATGATCAGTGTATAGTTCACAACAACTCTACCAATTCTCTGTAAGAACGTCTGTTTGATGTTTTTACCCTCTGAGACAGGAAGGGCAGGGGTTGGTCGGAACCCAAACCTACCCTTACCCGAACCAGCCCCTGCCAGCCTTTGGGCCTGTAAAGTAAATAATAGTGTTGTGCTCGAAGGATAGTGCTCTATTTAGATCGTGATATTGCAAGTACCTGGACCAATCATAAGACAAGGTGCATCTAAAGCCTTAGGGAATGATATTGTGCCTTTCTTGATCCAGACGGGAACGCGTATGTCCTTGTTGCAGCAATCTAGAGAAGCTAACCACGTTGAACAAAGGCCTCTCCTTGGTTTAACTAGTTTAGTTTTATAGTTAACTACAGCCACAAGAAGCTGCACTTCATCTGGATGAACCTGTCACATAACAACAGTACAGCGAAAATAGCATAAATACTCTATAAAAATGTTGATACCTACAATGTCAAGTAGAATAAGATGAGCGAGTTTCTCGTGTATTCTTGTGTTAACGCGCCTGTTCGGTCTGAACGAGCTTAGTCAAGTCATGGTCGAGTGTATTAAGCCCCTACGGAATGGTCAGATATTTCCGACGACATGTTGCTAGACCACCTCGATTTTGGCTCGTCACAAAACACAAAACCTTTCAAATACCGGAAAACATTTCTATCTGATATTTTCATTCATTAGTCAAACAGCGGCGATAGAAATGTCCAACACTTGTACTAACTACTTCACCAACGGAGAACCACAGTTTCTTTCGAAACGAAACACTTTTATTCATTTTCAATAAAGATGTTTAACCAGTTTGCCCCTGAGCCACCCATAATGGTCCGTGCAGATCCACGTCCTTTCTACCACTTGTGACGTCATCAGTTTTGATTGTGACGGATAACGTTGTCCGCTAACTTGCTCAGAGTGAAGTGATCTTCCAAACCATACCAGAATGAGCACAATTCAGTCAAGGACACCACGTAACATTGAACTGAAAATTTCCATGAAAGTCTTGTTCCACTTCCCACCTACCTTTCCTTTCATCTAATCCTAGGATCCTAAAAGCTTTCCTAACAACTTTTCCCACCAAAATGAAGCCTACTAAATGCCCAGCAAGAAAAAAAAAATGAGGCAAAAAAAGCGAAAAAAGAGGGGAGGAGAGAAAGCGAAATTTTGCTTTCTGCGCATGCCCGAACTTCGCAAGCTAATATTTTGCATCTGGATTAGAAGGCCGCGAAGTGTACGACCTGTAAACGGCTTTGTGGCAAGTTTTAGCTCTTTGTAGCGCGACAGTGACCAGAAAACCATTCGACTAGCTTCAAAACGCGTTTTTCGGCAAAATTTCCAGGGGCGGATGGGTTGACAAGCCGGGGTTTATTTTTTCCCTTTCATCGTACACTTAGAAGTTGAGTATCTGTATTACTAAAGTGCAAAAATTAAATCTGGAAATATCTTTAATGGGTGTGTGCCTGTGTTACACTTACCATTAGCGAGGAGGCAATCGAGAATGCTCGTGGCTGGATTGGTGGAATGAGATCAAAAAGGTACTCGAATGGGATGTTTCCGCTTGCACCTGGAAAATCTTGAAGGACCTATTGAAGAAAAATTGTAACGGGAATTTTTTATGACAGATCTGTATGAATAATCCTTCTGGGTCTACAGTTATTTCGTATTAAAAGGAAGTGTACGCTTAGCTTTAAGGGACAGACCGGGGGGGCTTGATCCACTCTAGTCGCGTTCCTTTCGCTCAGAACTCACCAGCTGTAAAAATCCACACCCTTTTACTGTAGTACTTTATAGAACGTCCACACCTCACCTGAATCCTCGCACTATAGGGTGTTCTGCTAAAAGTATCAATTTAACGTATGAAAAAATTTATAATGCTTGCTGTTGATTAAGGTAACGAAACACAAGAGTCACAGGGTACACGGGTAAGGATGCAATTCGGAGTATCGTTACACCCCCCTGGACAGGATGCTAACCCATCGCAGATGAATTCTCCTAAGCATTGATACACCTGGCCGGAGAGAGACAACGAGAAACAACAACATACTACGAGCATTATCATACTAGTACTCATAATACACCGCCAAACAAAAGATACGTTACGAAAATTTTCTTGTGGAGTGAGATAGAAGTGGAACAACAAGCCTTCAAGTATATCCACCAACACGCTAGCCTGCGAACAGTCTCACTTGTGCGAATTCGTGGAAAATTATTTTGGCGGCGGAGCCGACATCCAGCGGCCCATTCTCCTCGCGTGATGGTGGCTCTGCCGCCTAAAATGTTCCCTGAACTTGCACAAGTGACCCCGCTCGCAGGCTACCAACACGCAAACAACCGCCTCACTTCGTTTTAGCAATGCAAAATGGTGAAGGAAAAGCCGGATAAGTAAGGGCAAAAAGGGATTATTAATAAGGCAGTGTATAAAACCAGCCTACCTCTAACGTAGTCCTTTTCTGCCTATAACAATATGAATAAAGCTCCTCCTGGAAATAAAAGCAAAAATTTCCGTTATAAAAATAAACAGAACAATTCTTGAATTTTTACTGCACGATCACTTAAAACAATCCTAATACCTGCCCCTCAGCTGAGCAAAACTCTTGAAGCTTTTCCTTTTCAAGTTCTGAGGTGGTAAAATGTGAAAGCAGTTCAAAGAAGTATCTCCTTGGAACGCCTTGTATGTCTAAATAATGCTCCACGAGATGCCTGATGGTACACGGTTGAGGAAGCTGATATGGCAGAGGGATATCTATTGAAAAACAGTCACAGTCACTTTTAGCAAACAGGGTAAACTCTTGGCACTACCATTCTGCCGTAAAGTTTCAAATGACTCTTACTATCTTAGCAGGCCGTAGAGGTCGCTGTTTTCGAGTAATCATCATTTTTGAGGGTTAAAACGCAGTGAAACAATTCTAGTACAAATGAGCCGGGACTCTTTCACAATATGCATGAATGTGGGAACACTGGGTATCTGAGAACAATTATTGTGGACTGAGAACTACAAGAAAGATCAATGTCTTTTTCGCAAAATTGGTATGTAAATCGTGCTAACGCCTTCCATGATGATGAGATCATGATGATGATGATAATGATGATGATGATAATGATGATGATGATGATGATGATGATGATGGTGGTGGTGGTGGTGGTGATGATGATGATGATGATGATGATGATGATGATGATGATGATGATGATGATGATGATGATGGTGATGATGATGATGATGATGATGATGATGATGATGATGGTGGTGGTGATGGTGATGATGATGATGATGATGATGATGATGATGATGATGATGATGATGATGATGATGATGATGATGGTGATGATGGTGATGATGGTGATGGTGATGGTGATGGTGATGGTGATGATGATGATGATGATGATGATGATGATGGTGATGGTGATGGTGATGGTGATGGTGATGGTGATGGTGATGGTGATGGTGATGATGATGATGATGGTGATGGTGATGGTGATGGTGATGGTGATGGTGATGGTGATGGTGATGGTGATGATGATGGTGATGATGATGATGATGATGATGATGATGATGATGATGATGATGATGATGGTGATGGTGATGGTGGTGGTGGTGGTTGTGGTGGTGGTGATGGTGAGGTGATGGTGATGGTGATGATGATGATGATGATGATGATGATGATGATGATGGTGATGATGATGATGTGGATGGTGGTGGTGGTGGTGGTGATAATAACAATGATATGGTGATAGGCTTAATAATGACAATGACGAAGAAGACTCAGTCACAGACGACGATCACCACGGTGATTATGACATTCAAAGAATAGACAAAGACAACGACATTAACATCAATGAGAGTAGTAACTTTGTTTGCAAAAAAAATACCTGGATCATTCTGCTCAAGAAGGAATGTCCGGTTTGGATCTAGTGCGAAAAAGGTGATAAATTCCTCTACAACATCGGCTAGATTACTAGGCTGCACCATCAGAACATCTCCTGCGGAATGACTAGAACACAAAACCCTGCATTTAGATATAACTTTCTTCTTGCATTGCTAAACTAGGGTATTTTGCACAATTCACATTGATTTACCAATCAATCGGTCGAGCTTTATTTACCCACAGTATTGCATTCATTACAGTACTGCTCATCCAGAAAGCTTTGCAATGTATGCGAGCGTTATCCTTCTTGTGTCTGAATAGCGATTGAGGACCTCTCATTAATTGTCCTTTCTCTCAGGGATACTAAAACGGCTTGTGTCAACAATTTTATTGGGGGTGCAAAGTGTACTGTACCTCATTCCAGAGCCCTTTATATCAAACTGCACCAGTCTCACATCTTGCCAGTGATCCACTGCAGTCACACGATTGTTGGATATAAGTCTTGAACAGAATGGATGTCTTCTACATGGACTGGGATTGGGTTTAACTGTCATAGTATAAAAATAAAAATTGAGAAATGTACAGTGAAACCCTGTTTTACAAACACCTGCTTAATAAGAACAGCTGTTTAAAAACTAAACGTTTCCCCAATTTCAATAATGAAAGGCCCTTAAATCAGCCTGCTAAAATGACACTGATTAATATGGACAAAGGACACTTCCAGGTGAAAGTGTATCTTGTGTTACAGCAATGAATTGCACAGGTCTAACTGAATTTTTTAATCTTTTTTTGTATTGCAGACCCACTTCCTTTCATGACACATAAAAATGCAAATCAACTAACCTTGTTTTTCCACAGAGTCAACTTCAATTGAGATTGAGTGATTTGCTGCTTGGAGACCACCATCTACAAACTTCACTCTGTATCTTGACTGAGGCCTGCATAAATATATACTAGACTATATCACATGCACACAGTTTCCATGGATACAGATTTTAAACTTTTTTTAGGTCGACAAGAACTCTAATTAAATTGGATGCTTGCTTATGCACAGGAATAACAAAGAAACCAAAGGGGGAAAGGAAGTGAATCCAGAGCTGTGCTCTAGCAGAGCCCGGTGGCCCCTGGCGCCTAACATTTGCCCTCGGGCAACAAGAAAATCTCAGATTTTTCATACAAATCATATGCTGGGCACCCTAGATTTTACAGTTTCAGAGCACTGGGCTCCCTTCAATTTTCCTTAGAACCCAGCCTTGGAATCCAGATCACAAACAAATCCCTATTGTCAACATCCTAATTTTGTAAATCTTCTTTTGGCAACCAAAGAGTTGAGAACATTTATCTTTGGCACAGATTTTCAGTGGTCAGATAAATCCTCTCACAAAAATATGTTGAGCTTGGCATGTCCACCTCACAGTACCAATGACTTACAAACCCTGGGGATGTCTGCATTGCATTTAGAATCTACCTAATCATAACACCTCAACTCGATGTCATTAATGATATAATTAGCTACTACATGTAGTTCGTTAAGGCAACTTGCTGACCTCTGACTTGCACTGATAATCTCCTTTCCAGGTGGCAGTGGATACATTTTTAGAACCTTTTCCCACAATTGCTTCAACCAAGGATCAACAACTGCATCTGGCCTACAAATAAAATGTTATGCTCTGAGCTGACAGCAGGAGAGAGAACCATACAATAGCATGAATGGTGATGAGCATAACTATGGACACTGCAAATATGTCAAAGTCAAGAAAGGCAAAGAGGTAGTGGATGGTACATGTTAAAAAAATAAAGTATTAAGGTCAGTTCGTCTCAATGATGTTGAAGTTACATGTACAAGACAATCCATTGGAATATTACATAGCTTGCTTGCCTTAGACATACCCCAACTCATGTTGATCATCTGCAAGTCCAAGAGACTGTAGAGCAGTACCACCCAATTGAACCAAACGCTTGTACAGCTTCTTGGCAATAAAATTAAACCTGCACAAACAAAACTGTGTTAAAGAACCGACAAATAATAGGTACAATGTGGTGTAATTAACAATCAAATGCCATTAGTCATTTTTTTCAAATGAATTAAATAATAATAATTTTACTCTTTATTGCTTGCAGGGTTGTCATTTAGATTCCAATTTACCGGGTACTAAATACAACAGGTAGGCAGGGAATCAAACAGCTAGGGATTTCGTTTGGTTCTATTTTTCTTCTATTTTCCTTTGAAAGTAGCCAGGGGTCAAGTTCATGGTAGCCGGGGGAAATTCCCGGCCAACACCTCTCAGAGACAGCCCTGGTTTCACTTACTTTGGATAAGAAGAGTCTCCAAGACCAAGCACAGCAAAAGAAACACCAGACAAAGAATTTGATGGGAGGTTTCTTCTAAGCATAAATCTCCAGAATTTCTGTAAAACAATGGTTTTGTTTGGAATCTTAGAGTAAGGTGAAATAAAAATAAAAACATGGCCAAAGGAGACCCGTTATAATAATATGCTGATCAACTAGAAACTAAAACATCAACACCTGGGGTAAACCCTGAGCATTTGGCCATTACTTGTGCCAGGAGAGTGGAGAATTTTATCATTACTTGAATGGAGAACGGAATTTGAACCAAAAATGTCAAGTTTAACTTCCTTAGATGACCCAGGTCAGATAACATGATTTGATAGTTGCGATCTTTCTCACAGTGAGATGGAGGAGTTTTAAGGTAAAGAAACAACTGTTTTAAACAAATGGCAAGGACTTCAAAAAATAAATGGATGTGTAACAAAGTCAATTATTTAATTGTTGTAGTTCAATTGCCAATCAATATCATGTGAAGCTCAGACCATTCACACAATCTCAAAACATTCCTTCTTTGGGAGGGGTATTGGACCACTACATTGCACTTATGTAATGGTTATTTGAGGAGGTCTGTTTTAAAAAGTACAAATGCCTCGGGGTGGGGGGTGCAGAGGGGGGATGTTGAAGTTTCTAATTGGCCAGCGCATTAGCTTCAAAACAACTTGAAAAGAGAAAAAAATTTAACAGCATGCAAATAACTTCATACTTCTCCTCTCAAAAGAAAGCCTTACCTCTAGCTGTGAACCATACCTGCTATCATTTTAAGGCAAAGTATGTACAGTTCACTGACAAACCAACTTGGTCACTGTCAAATTCCAATTCCCTGCTTCTTTGGTTTTTTGGTAGAAAATGGAATGACAAGCCTATTTATTATTTCATGAAGTTAAATAGCAAGCACAGCTCATGTTTGAGTCAGAAAATGTATGCAAAACTAATTAGATCTATGGTGGCCAGTACAGGAATCTAGAAAAGTTTTCCCAATAAGAAAAAGGTATAAATAACCTCACTATAACCTTCATATTATCTGGCTCATCTCCCTGGCCAGTCGTAGCACAGACAAATACAACAAGTTCCTCATCAATTAATCTTGTCTGAAAAAAAGAGAAAACAAATTTAAAAAACAAATTCATTAGGCAGTCTCACTGGTTTCTCCAAGGTCACAAAACATCTAGCAATAAAACAATTTCCCACCAAAAGTGTTTCTTGCGAGTCGGCTGCAAAATATCTAAAGCAGGAAGGCTATAACAAAGATGTGTGTATTCCAAATCTACTTATGTCTTTGCTAGGATGAAACATCTATGAAACGAACACCGACATATTCTTGGTTTGCAACCACGTGACAAGGTGGCCATGTTGGGGGTCAAAACAAAAGAATATTTCCTCGAAGAATTTACATGAAAATAGAGTTTAGTTCCCAGAGGAGAGAAATGCTTTTGTTCTTGACCACCAACATGGCCGCCGTGACGTCACGTGCAAACCAGCAATACTGTTAAGCTCAAAATGGTATTTCATATGGCTTGTGGCAGAAGGCAGGCTACAATCTTGGACAAAATAAATGGAAAACCTAGACCCCCCCCCCCTCCCCCCCAAATCAGGGATGGGAAAATGGCTCGTTTTTGCCCTTCGCGCGGCTTCATTCTCGACTTGGGTCGGGGATGAGGGTTTGCTGTTCCATTTTATTTTGTCCAAGATTGTAGAATTCAAGATCATTTTAAATGACTGGTCCCTCGAAAAAATCAGTCAATTTTGTCTCCCTCGAATCTCACTGTTAGCTACTGGAAATTATGAGTCTCTCTGGAAGCAACTTAATTGTTCCCCATGGGTCTAGTCGTTTGTTGAATTATTAAACCAGAACCGTGAACTAAACATTTAACCGCAACTGTGTTTAGATACTTGCAGGTTATTGATCCAACTTACCACATCGTAATCATCTAATGCCAAAACTGAAGCTGAAAGATGTCTTCTCTTTGCCTCGCGCCCGATTCTTTCGGCTACTTCTTGAGCAGTTCCAGTCTGGGATCCATAAAGAACAGAAATCTTTCTTCCAGAAATTTTCGATAGATCGTCCGCCATTTTAGTTAGCTTTAATTTCATAGACCACAGACCAGTGAAATCGCGGACTCTCAAAATAGGAGATTGCGTGATTGTGCTACCTTGTCACGGAATACTTCGGCTATTCGACACCGGGATTCGACACAACTGTGAAATTGGTCGAGAGCGAACAAAATGGCATCAAATCTCGATTATGCGGAGGATATTGAAGAAGCTAAAGCATACATGGCTAAAAAGAATGTTTTTCAACTGTTTGAGGTTAGTAATAGTGCCTATTTCGAATT